ATATATACATATATATATTTTTTTTTTTTACCTGGAGGTCTATGCTGTATATATACAGCCCGTGAGAGGTTGCTGCAGCGAAGGCGCGGCTGTCCCCCGAGAAGGCGACGTCGTTAATCAAAAATATTTTTTCGTTTTTTGCGGCTAAGTCCCCCATCATCACCCCGGGCAAGCTGCGGTGCTGAGCCCCACCACACACACACATATATAAACACAAATCCTCCTGCTGCTGCTGCTGCTGCTGCTGCTGCTGCTGCTGTTGCTGCTGTGTTTGGCTGCAGGAATGAGGAATGCTGCAGAGATCAGCTACATATGAAGGTAACCAACGCCCGCTACACCAAAAAAAAATGTAAACCCTAACCCTAAACCCTAAACCCTAAACCCTAAACCCTAAACCCTAAACCCTAGAGCAGCACAAATACGGGTGTGTTTGGCTTACGCTGCGGATTCTTTTTCTTTCTCTCTCCCCCTCATTGAAGTTGTCATCTTCATCCGACAAATCATACTCCTGGATTGGGGTCCCTGAAGTGTAAACCCTAAACCCTAAACCCTAAACCCTAAACCCTACACCCTAGAGTTAGCTAGACCCTTGACCCTGTGCTCGAAGCCGTTGACGCGAACTGGAAACAGCACTCCTTTTAAGTGTATAGGGGGATTGGTGTGTTGGGGTTTGAGCTGGTTGCGGTGTATCTGCAGCTCCCGAGGTGTATGTGCATGTTCTGCGGTGTCTGTGCATCTCGTGCAGTGTACATGCAGTCAGAGTGTATATATGAAGCCTGCGGTGTATGTACAGTCTGAGGTGTATGTACAGCCTGGGCTGTATGTACAGCCTGGGGTGTATGTAGAGCCTGGGGTGTATGCACAGCCTAGGGTGTATGGACAGCGCGGGGTGTATGTACAGCGTGGGGTGTATGTACAGCGTGCGGTGTATGTACAGCGTGGGGTGTATGCACAGCCTAGGGTGTATGCACAGCGTGGGGTGTATGTACAGCGTGGGGTGTATGTGGTGTACCATCATCTGTGATGAATTTTGAGTTGAGTTCTCTGCGTATTCCCTCGAGAAGAAAGTTGGAAGTGAGGAGAAAAGTAGCAGTGAGCGAAGAAGTTTCGATATCATAAATAAAAACTTTGGGACAGCGAATGCTGCATATAAGGAGAGAAGAACCAGACGAAGAAAACGATAAAGACGATACACTGCAGTTCAAGTCTAAACCCGCTATCAGACCCATCACACGCTGCAGCCACACACAAACAAATAAATAAATAAATAAAATAAATAAATAAATAAATTAATTAATTAATTAATTAATTAAATATATTAGTTTACGAGTAAACATAAAAAAGAAC